ACACAAATGCATCTATGATATTGCACCTACGTATCTACCGTCACATATTAATCAACATGTACTACCAATACATAACTTCACCATTTGAAACCTATATTACTTTCCACACCAAGCGAAATTAGCATTTGCTGCTCTCTTCTTGTGCATCAAACAAATGTGGGCCTCCAGCATAACATAAAGAGTTAGACTTACTCCATCTGGAACAGTGTCATGAAAATAACAGTAATCATGGACAAATATAAGCAGAATGAATACAGATACAGACACATTTAATATAGCAGGTACACATTGGATGACAGAAAAATTGCTATCTTAACATAGCAATAAGCCCAAATCACTATGTTTGTCCAACTCACACTGCCATGTATTTGTTAAAAACATGTTAAATTAGATACACAAAAGGTATTATGCACATTTCCTAATTTACGCAGTCTACTTTAATTTATCTAGCTGTGTTGAAACACAACCCCTTACTAAACTTCAGGAAGACTGGGATATGCCAACTAGCCTAGCAGGTAAAATATCGTACAGTGACAACATAACGTCATGCAGACTTATGAACAAGATTGTGAGTTTGCTCAGGAGGTTTATACAACCAAATGTCCATTAAATTTTGCCACAAAATTTAACATGAGTGCTCAGAAAGCAAAGATTGTAAAATCCTTTCAGCATTTTGGTTCATCAGAATTATAACTCATACTTGAATCCAACTACAGATTTCCCTAATATTTCGTATGATAACCTCAGCTGTGCTAGCTGTATAAGAAGCGAGTTCTGTACAATCTGCTCTACAGAAATTCCACTGCAACTCAGCTATAAAGATAAAGTGATTATGGCAAGTCATTAGACCAACATCTCTTTGCCATATAATGCCTAATAGTTTTGAAAGTAAGGGTTGCAATGCCTTTTAAATTGTTTTTTAACCAACCAATAATCAAGTAGTTAACCCATGATTTCCTGTTGACACCTTACCACAAACCACTGCTGAATATACCGGATTCATTTTGCTAATGTTTTCTCATAGCATCCTGACGAATTTCATGTCTTTGCTAGTCATAGTGGGATGACTCAGTATGAAAATACATGCACCATCTTTGGCATTGTAATGATGCAACATGTCATGAAATACTTTTTATTACATCCCTCACTGTTGTCTGTCATATAATGCATTTTAGGAGCAACAACTTCATCAGTATGCCTTGTTGGATCATAGAGAGATACCACCTGCTCTGCCTGATGGCACTGCAATGAAACATATTGAGCTTCATCCATTGCATGCATATCATCAATCTCTCTGGTCACATGCAACTCAAACTCCTATAGAGACCATACTAATAAGTATCTAGATGTCACGCTACTGGACACTTTTCTGTTACCCTATTTGCCAAACCACTGACAGGAACTGTTAGAGGTAACATCATGAAAGCCTGGGATTGCCCAACTAGAAACCCATAACGTTGTGGTCCTGGGACAGATCGTGAATGCAGATTTATTCTCACCATCACTATTAAACACTCTGGGTATGAAAGACTGCTTCTTCTGGTTCTTGTCCCATCGAGGTTAGAAGAAATTTTGTATGAGGGGTAAAAACATTGACCAAATTCAAAGCCCCTGTATATTATAAGAACCACTCATGTGCTTCTTCACTGTACATCAAGTCAGGGTGTGCTGCCACATTTTAGTACCCTTGTGTACACTACAAGTTCTATATCATTCTTTTCCATCATCATGATTTGCAAATGTTACAGTACCAGAGAGTAAAACAGAAACATTCAAAATAAGCTCTCCAATAACAAATTCTTTGGTCAAAACACCGATACAAGTATTTTTTAACTAGTCTGTGGAACTCGTACATACTGATATCTAACAGGTACCCATAGATTTCTGTAATAACAAAGGTTCAGTAAATCACATGCCAAGAGTTAACTGAACATGGGCAGCAAAGGAAAAACAAGTCAACAAAAGATTTATTAACAAGAATAGTGTCTATGCACTTCACTTACTTGTCAGCTTCCAACATTCCTATTGTGATTACACTAGCTGTTGGGGCTAGAAAAACTTTCCAAATATGTCTACTAAGGACAAGGAAAGGAAGCTCAATGTTATATCACACTTTCAAGTGAGGGAAAATGACTATTATGCAGCAATATGACATAAGCCTCAGATTATCTATGACAAAAAGTATTTCAAATAATATATACAAAGGAGAGAGCCTCCTATTCGTATAAGTATTTGTATGACCTCTTGAGATGGGCTTGCCCTACCCCAAGAGTGGACACAAATACAGAATCGCATTAGTTTAAGATTCTATTGGATAACTGTTGCAGTATGCTATATTCGTCTAAGCAAAAGGAATATTATAGGTTTAAAACCTCTCAATATCTGATCTACACATCTACTCGAAAATTCAGAAACATTACCAGAATATACTTTCAAGGCCAAGTCCCTCTAATGGTGAGACAACGCTTAGGAATTGGTGCTCAGCTCTGGCTTTATTGGCACCACTGTATGAGAATGGTGACAAATTCCTCTTGAATGGGATGGCAGTCCATTACAGGTTAATATCTCAGCTATCAACCAGTATCAATCATACACTTAGGTTAAAGAGTATCAAGGGCATGACAGCATGTCGCTAGCAAGCCTCAAAACCACAACCATTTGACTATGAATCCTAAGTGCGAATCCACTAAGTCAACACCACCTACGGCCAGCTGTCTTGGGATACTCTTTATTAATGAAAATATTGGGATTTACCATCAGATTAAAACTCACCCACTGTTGAAAGAGTGGCCATGTTTGGTGGCGGGTTTCGATTTCGCAGCCCGAATATTGCGAACCAAGCACCACAACTATCAAGCCAGTATCCAAAGCAAACACAATATTGTTAAGGTATTCATCATCTTTATATTGAACGAGTTGGAGAGGCATCAGTCAGGATGCAGAATGTTCTGGGGATCTTGTGCAAAGAAAATTTGAGAACCCACTTAAATAATTTATGAATAATTCTCTAGCCATGTCATTTAGTAAGGTGGTAATGAGCGTTAACATTTTGCAATGGGTGGTAAGTTTGAGGACTTATAAAGCTAAACATAGGATTTTGATAACTGCAGTGGGCAAAGCACAGATAGTCCTATAGTTGCTTTGCGAGAAATTCAACAAACTAACAAATTTACGGTTAACAACAAACAAAAATAGGAAGGAGTCTCATGTCTGTGAAAATACGAGTTGCGACAAAAATAAAAGTTCTTTTGCTAACGTATTTTTAATATTCTTCTATAGAATATTAAAAATAATTCAAGTTAATTAACTTAATCAGATATTTTGTTAAAGCTTTCTTATGAGATATCGAAAACCCACTGTTCGTCATTCGAAGTTATATCAAAATTTCAGTTATTCATCACTAGATCCACATTTTATTTATTAATAAACGATAATTACAATCTTACCTAAAATACGAGTCTAAGAAATTATTAGTTATCATGAATAACATTACGTTTTTGGAAAGTCTGCAAAATTAAGACGTATCTCTTGTCATTATTTCCTACTTTTATTTAATTGATCTGACAAAACAATAAAAAAATTAGGCATATTAAATATCCAGCCTAAACCAAATCCCTTTTTGGCAAATTGTAGTGAAAATAAAAAGTGTAAACAAAGATGGCTCTAAGAAAACTGTGAAACCTATAATATATATGTAGAAATCCAACTAGTTTAATTATCATATTCTTTTCGTAATTATTGGAGCAAATGTTTTTTAACTTATGATAATCCTAGTATTTATTTTATTTATCATGTCGATATTTTCATAAAGAATATTTAAGAATTTGTTTTAATCAAACAGATTACAAGTACAAGTACTAAATAAATGATGATAAAAATTTGTAATTTTTAAAAAATTTAAAGATAGAATGTTTTGAACTTAGAAAATATATATTTACACAAGTATATTCATCTTAAAGTACTAATGTGGTTCTTCTAACAAATTAAATTGATAAATTACAATCTTTGTTATATTCAGTTTCACTGAAAATATTTATGTACGATGTAAGAGTAAGTACTTTGCTATAAACCGTCTACTTTTCCATAAAATTTCATTGGCATACCTATACTGGAACACGCTACAAATTCGACAAACTCTTATAACAACAGTTGTTTAAAACTTCATCTAATGAAGCAATTATGCGACACACACCAAACTATGGGTAAATGGTCACAAAATTCTAGCTTTATACACAAGTACAAGATTGCTAAGCACGACCTACAGTTCCATCCAAATATTACTATGATTAAATATCGCTTTAAATTCAGCAGTTACAGGAATTGGGTGTAATTATATATATTATTAAAAACTAAATACTTAGCCTTCCACATATTTCACTTGTCCCACGTAAAATTTATTGTCATTATTAAAAAATTCAAAGGTCTATATACCTAAAATTGCAGTGCATGTCTTGTATCACTAAAATATGTCACAGATCCTAACGGGAACAGTAATAATATGAAGTAGGGGAAAAACATTATCATGTAAAATCATAGATATATAATTTCCCAATCTTTCTATGCTTTTGAAAAAAAATGCCAGTTTTTTTCGCTTTGTATTATTATTGTAATACTAGCACCATTTCTGATTGGCCGTGCATAACGTTCACCTTTACATTACCCATTAAAAAGAAATCAGCTATATTTTTCTGTCTACACTCAAGTCCTGTGAGGCTGAAATGCATCATGTCTTCGATCCATAGATGTTACCCCAAAAGGCATGCATCAGCCAAAAAAGTATAAACATTTTCCTTAAGAGATTAATTATAGTATAAAATGGGTTAAAACTTTTATATTGGTTTTATTCAAACTCATTTCTATGACAGAAAAATGTGTTCTTTGATTAAATTACTGTTTTCCTTTATGATTTTATTTATAAATGCTATCAATGCAGACAATGAACTATGTAATACACCACCAGCTTCATATTACTTCAGGCAATAAACACATTTCTGCCTGAATTTGTGTGTTAAATTTATATTTAATAGTACGATAAATACAGGAATAAATACCATACAAGAACAACACTATGACAGAAAAAATTTAAAATCTCAATTAAATGAAATTGGTTAAAAACACTATCATGGTAAGTATATACAGCTATTGTTCTTGATTTTTAGTTTCTGCAAACAGCTCACTTCTACTTTGCTTTGATTCAACAGAGGTGTGATATTCAAAATCGTAAGAATCAATTTCCTCTTGGGATAAACAAACTATACTGTTGCTTGATGTGCACAAATCATAATTTACACCCAAGGAGCACATGCTATTTTCTTTAGAATCACCAATTGAAACATTGGCACCAACATCTGAATAATCTGATAACTCAACATCCCAAATATAAAACATATCACTGCCTATGACAAAGTCATCAGTTTGGTCCTCAGTCATTGATGTCAGGTCCAAAAGTTGAGAGTCAGAAGTCAAACTGGTTTTAAAAAATTTACCTTCATTTTTTTCTTGACTATTTTCTAAAACTGATGACAGCTCAGTTACATCATTTGACTGAATGCTATCAGAATTATGGTTCAGTATGTTAACAGAATTAGGAGGTCTAAAATCATTATATAAAGTGTTACCTGTCTCAAAGGTTGTGATCTGTTTCTGAGTTTCTAGTACTTCTATTTTCCTTTCTGAATGTAAAAATACTGGTTTACTATCCTCCAACATGAAATTTTCAGTCTGACCATCAAGATCCATATCATTCTCATTTACAATGGAAAACAGGCTTAAATTGTTCAGGCTTAAAATGGAATCAGACTGTTCTGTAGAGATTTCATTCATTTTATGTTCATGTGAAAAATCTTTAACAGTTTCTGTGTGGTGCTGTATTGATTCATTGTTCTGTTCTGCACAAGGTTTTGTACACATGGAGTCAGACTCTGACTTACGCATTAACTCTTCTACAGAAATATCAGTGTCATGTTCATTGATATCCTTAACTTCCTTCTGTTTATGAGATTTGATGAAGTCTTCTTTGGGTGTATCAATATTAATACAGCTTGGATCATTTGCTGTTAAAGTATTTTTTAGAAATGGACTTACAAATTCACTAACAGATGATAATTCAGGTGATTCATATTTCTTCAGGTCTTTTACATTAGATTCTTGACACCATGTTTCCAATTTATCAGGTTCCTCTTTTTTCATGATTTTAAGCTCCTCATCATTTGAAGTGCTATTATCATTTTTGAATTGACAACTGTTTGTATGACTCAAAACAATTTGAGGTTCATTTTGACTTTTGTTGGTTTCTTTAACATCTGTTACAGAATTTTTCACTGAAAATTTTGACTTGGTCTCATAATCATGAAAGTTCATGTATGGATCTTCTAGTTTATTTTCTTTCCCTTCCATGGTTAATGATTCTGGTAACAGCAAGTTTTTTTCCTTTCTTTTTTTGATGACAAAATGGGTATCTGTAGCAGGTTTTACATTTAGCTGTAAGTCAGTGTGCAAACCTTGTTTCATATTAGTTGATTCTGATAAGGAACTTTTTATAAGTTGAGCACTATTATCACAAACAAGTTGGGAAACCTTTAGTTCTCCAGCCTTATGTAATAGAAATTCTTTACATTCTGAAGAATCTTGATTCATGCACATGTTTTCTTCATTATATTCCAAAAGAGAATTTTCTTTATTAGACTCACAAACTTGTGAAACTTGAGATGTTATAGTTTTCAGCTCTTCCAGAGATAAACCATTACTCTCAGTTGACAATGGAACTTTAGCATCTGAAAATAAATTCTGTGAAACTTCACTTTGCTGGCATTGTGTTTTCTGCAAATTATGTACTTCTCTACTGATGGAGCAGAATTCAGTTGCCAATTTCTCAGATGCATTTTGCTTAGCTAACTGTACATACGTAACATCTCTATGAAAATATTTTTCAATTGGTTTTAATATCTTAGTGTTATGTTCACTTCGTATTACTGAAACATTTTTCTTTTCTACTACATTTAGATTCAATAGGAACTCTTCTTTAGAATACTTGTTACCAGAATCAGGTTCAGCAGATAACTGAAAATTCCTGGCTGTACCATCATGTATCTTGTCTCTTGCAAGACCCAAATATTCAACTTCTTGTAATGTTTCAAAGCTCTTATAGTGTATAGAAGTTTTATCAGCACTAAATATTTGCTCTCTATTTTCATTTTCTACACTCCAAAGTTCTACCATGGGTTCCATAAATGCTTTAACTGTAAGAAAGTCCTGGACTTGAAAATGGCTGTTAATATGATCTAGTATGCATGACATCAGTGTAGTTCTATAGTCACAATGTGGGCAAGTAATTCCTCCTTGTGCATTGTGTTGTTTCTGGTGATTCTGGACCTCATTCTTATTCTCACTCGTGTAAGGGCAACGATCACAGCGAAAAATATGTTTTATATTTTCTTTGTAAATAGCATCCACACGAGATTCTGCTGATACTGTATTTTTTTCAGAAACCTGTTTACCATAAATCAAACCTTGAGGAACAGAGGCCTCCTGTACAACATAAGGGTTGTGTAGTAGAGTTTTCTCATGCACATTGTTGTGCTTGTACAGATTAGCAGCACACCTAACTGAGTAGTCACATTTTTCGCATGTGTATTTTGATTTTTTGCCATGTAACAAAACATGACGGTCATAGCGACTGTGTTTGGAAAATGCAGCAGGGCATTTCGGGCATTGATAACTTTTCTGTTGCAAATGTTCAAATTTATACAATTGTGAATGCAGTGCAGTATGAGTTAACAGACTGCATGTTGTTGGTACAGTATAGTTACAATTAGAGCAAATATGTAGGCCAGGTCCACCATGGAGTCCTAAATGAAAATTCAAAGTTGTTTGTTTCACAAATTTGGCAGGACAAAGTGGACAACTAAATAGCTTTTGTGATACTTTTTGGCAAAGACCCTGCAAATAAGACTGTGTTTCGGCTTCTTCTAGCAGTAGCATCTGGTTATTCATTGTACTTTCTTTAATACTTATCCCACTTTTCTCATTTTTATCAGAACTGTATTTATTTGAGTCTTGAAGATTACACATCTTGTCAGATATGTTAAGTGGTGGTGCATTTGATGCCTTTCGTTTGGCAGCATAAGCTGGGCTGTGTACCAAAAGATGTTTGTGTAAGTGTGGTTTATGTCTTGCTGTATAATCACAGAAAGGACAGCGAAATGGATGATTAGCTCCATGTAAACTTTTATGAGTTCTGAAACCACCAATGCTTTTGAAAAGTGCTGGACAGTTCATACAAAAATAGCTAAAGTTTACCTTTCGGTTGTAAGGAGTTAATGAGCATTGTTCAGTTAACAGATTCAGTTTTTCTCCTTCATTGCCTATTAATGTTCTTTTTTCATTATAATTGACACAGGATTCATTCTGTACATTTTTTGAGTCAATAATGGGTTCAGGAGGTGTAGAACATCCTTTCAGTATTTCTGTACCATTAGTTGTTTTCAAAAAAACATCAACTTCACTTTCCTGGTGTAACTTTAAGTGTACACCTAACACTCCCTGATTATTGCATTGATAATTGCAAATAGGACAAGAAAATTTGGAAACTGTGTCTCTATTGTGCATTGACATGTGGAGTTTGACATTTGCTCGACGCCGGTTTTTCATTGGACAATAGCAACACTTGTATGTTTTCACAAGAAAGTTTCCTTTTTCTGTTATTTCAAAAGGGACATCTTCTTGAATACTTTCCTTGCTGGGAAACTCATTCTCTCTGTCAATCGATTTTGTATGAATTATATGAAGCTTCATGTGCTGTTTCAACAGATGTAGTCGGGTTGCCCAATATGAGCAAACTGTGCACCTATGTGGGGCAGCTCTGTTTGGTCGGTGGAACTGCTTGTGATGAAGAAACTGTTTCCTGTTGTCACTTTTATAAGGACATTGACTACACATATACTTTTTAAACAATGATGTACATCCAAAAAGTGGGTTAGTGGATGTTTCCTCGGTTTTATCAATGTCACCAACACATTTAAGAGTACTTTTGACATCTTCAAAAATATCATTAGAACTATTTTTTTTATCCTTTTTACAGGAATGAATGGAAGCATCTTCCCAATCCTCACCTCTACCAGCAGCACTATTCATAGAATGTTTTATGGTTATGTTGGCAGAATACTGTTCATGCAACTTCATATGTCTTACAAGTGTTTTACGATATTTTACATAATATGGACAATGTAAACACTTTAAAAGTGACCCATCTCTTGGCTGGTGTTGCTTTAGATGGGTTTTCATGTAGAACTGCTTTTGGCAACTATAGGGGCACAAGTTGCACTTAAACCACTCAAGGGGATAGCAGTTTTTCTTAGCAACTTGTTTGCTTTCTGTCGATATACTTGTAAGATGCAGAACACGGCTCTTCAACTTAAAACTAAAACATTCTTCTAGATCTTTGAAATTTCCACAGTGTTTATTTTTTATGTGTCTAAGGATTACATGTCGCCAGTTAGATGTAAACTTACAGATACGACAGCGATAAGGTTTAACTCCAGCATGAACAGTCATATGACTTACAACAACTTTCCTGTCAGAATGTTTGAAATTACAAAGATTACAATGATATAATTTATTTATATTATTTGAATAATTTCCTACTAAACCAACTTTAAATATTTTATTTCTAGCTTCTCTGGAATTAGTTGATTGCACCAGATGAGCTGGACTAATTTTGTTCTGAGTTGTATCATTGTTATTGTCATAGATCACTGCACTTTCATTAAATATTTCACTACTTTTCTCCATGTCAGATTTTGTATGGTTTTTTAAATTGTTATCTGGTGGTGCTTCAATCAAAAACTTTAAGTACTTAGTAAAGTCAACTTCTCCCATATTACAAGACAATAAACAGGTAGCATAGTGATGTACTGGATCATTAGCAAACTTCATCTTAATATGTTTTGTTATTTCCCATTGCTTCTCAGATTTGTACCCACAAGCAGAACACATAAATTCTTGTCTATCATGATGCTGTACATAGTGAGTGTGAAAACTGGAGACTGAAAGTGTTTCAAAATGACATTGGTTGCATTTGTATTTCTTAGTTTTCATTTTTTCTGATGAACAATTAGTTGAATCATGTTCATTCACACTGCTGATCTCTAACTGTAATTTCTGTTCACCATTTTGTGAGGTATTATTAAGTTCATCTTTACAAATATTAACTTCTGAATAAGACATATTTTTGTACTCATTTATAAAGCTGGTAATTTTTGGGGGAGCACTTAAGTCAAGGGGTAACTCCTCATTATCACTCAAATGTGATATCTTTTTTGTTAGTGTCTTAATATCTTTTTTCACAGGAACAGAAACTTTGTACTTAACACTCCCATTGGACATGTGACTATTTATGACAGGTAAAGAACTTTTTGCCATCTTTATTTTAATTTTTGGCACAAGTTTTTGTTTGAAAAATGGCATTTCGGGTTTGTTGGGATGATACTTTTTCAGGTGCCTAGTTAAATCTCCTTTCCATTTAGTCTGGTATCGACAATAACAACATAAAAAGGGTTTTTCTCCTGAATGAACACGAAGATGTTTCTCTAACTCTGACATCCACTTTGATTTGTAACCACAGACAACACAAGTTGGAATTGATTTGACAGTTCCACTCTTTCTTTTTAGACCTTGTACAATAATCTTGGCTACTTTTTCAGTTGTTCCATGCTCCTGTTTTATGTGACGAGTGAAATACGGAAGAAGATCAAAACCCAATCCACAGGTTGGGCACGAGTATTTCTTCTTTGTTAGATGTCCCATTTCATGTCTTCTTACACCAGATGGACAAGCAGTAAAAGCACAAAAACGACATTTGAGTCTTTTTTTCATTAACTTATTACTTTTCATAGCCTCTACCTTATCATAGGTAAAAGATAATTTAGGAGAATTTTTACAATTTTCATCATGGACAAGTGAATCATCATTATTATTTTCTGCACTAGAACTCCTGTCAACAAATCTATATTCACCTTGTGTATAATCAGGAAAGCTGCTCTCTTCCTGTTCACAGTTAGAATTCTTATGATCACACTGATGCATCAATAAGGACTGTTTATCATGAGTCTTAAAAGAACATTCACAGCATCTGAAGGCTCCTTCTAACCCATGATTTTTTAGATGGCGATCAAGGTTCCATTTATAAGCTGTTTGAAAATCACAAAAACTGCATTTCAATTTTGGCAATGAATGAAATTTGCAGTGTCTAGTGTACTTTGCTCGCTCACTAGTAACATAGCTACACTTTAAACAACGAAAAAACTTTTTCTTTAAGTGAAAAGTGTTTTCATGCCTCTTCATTTCCACTTTACTTTTTGTTTTCAAATTGTGTTTGAGGCATTCATAATCACACTTTTGAAGATTTTCCTTTTTGTGATTTTCTGTAGAATTTGTTTTTGCATCAGTACATTTTGTGGAAGATGCTTTGTTTTTATTTCTTTCCAGTGGACTACCCATATCATTATCTTTTATAGTTTTGCTTGAAGATGTTAAAGACCTAGAATTAAGTAGCTTTTGACAAGAATTCTGAATACTTTTTACAGCTTTTCGTTCATTTTGAGGATTCTGCTTTATTTGAGTCGAATCTGTATTTTTAACCAGCATTTTTTTATGTACCATCCCACAATGTCTTTGTAATTTTTGAAAGTTTTTTGATGCATACAAACAGTAGGGACATTCATACACAGTAATTCTTTCCATATGAACTTCTTGACGATGATATAAAAATTTTCTGGGGTTTATAGTAACAAGATCACACTGCCGGCATCTGTAGACTCTTCGTACACGAAGATAGCCTTCTAAGGGTAAGGTTTCAGTTGATTTCTTTGATGTAATAGAATACTTTTTATCAAAGGTATCATTATCTTCTTTTGGTGCTTTCAGTTGCAATTGAGATTTACCAGGGATATTACTTGATAAAGCTTGAAAAGTCTGATTTTTCACATTTCCAGGTGATTGGCAAAAGTTAACCTGTTTTTCATGGTAGCCACCATCTTGAAATTTTTGTGTCTTTCTCATGCGTACTTTCATTTTTTGTAACATACGATGAGATACATTAGGTCGAATTCCATGAATAGTTCGCTTATGTCTGCGTAAGTTAGCTCGATACTGGGTTATAAATGGGCATGCTGGACATCTAAATACTTGAGCTGCATGATGAGAAGCAACATGCTGAAGAAGCGTACCTCGAGTCTCTGCCACATAATCACACGCATCACAGACATACCGGTACTTGGACATGTTTCAAATGTACTAACACCTCAGTTTCATAGAAGCAATTTCCTGTGACATTAAATATTATTACCAAGTTAGCTAGCTTTTCATCTGTTTCCCTGGATTTAGTGCTTCAACTACATCAAACACCTGAAAGACAGTTCAATTAGAATTACAATAAATCAACACTTTTCCTTGTCTTAAACTTTTTTAATTCATCTAACAACTGTAACAGAATAGTTATGTCTATAAGTTAGGGACAAAAATGCACATAGTTAACTCTCTTGCACATATGTAAATGTCACAAAGTGAAAACATTCAAGTACTTTCTGTTCAGTTTAAATATTAAAATAAGAACAGTTATGCATTGCTAATACAAATATTGAGAACAAATGAGAAAAATATTTTCATATGAAACATTTTTATGAATTTGCCACTTTCAAATTTCAAAAAGATTTCACTGTGATATGTTTCTAACAAACAATTAAAAACACTTATTTTTTGTTATAGATTTTAACTACATATTTTCATATCTTCTTACATTCTTTAAAAACTAAATTTTATCTTGTTTTTATTTGAAAAGCAATGAATTCAGTTTCACTGTTTTAAGGATCACTAGTATACAATAAAAGTACTCTTTTTTACTATAACAAAATTATGAACAAGTTAACTTTTTTTTATATTGTTAACCACAATATATATTTACATTTCTCTTTGACCATTCAAAACGTTACTTAGGCTGATAAGACCTAACACTACTCACAAGTTGGCAAAACAAAACCTGGTACAGGTGGGTACAAAATGATGTAATTAAGTCTACCTCTTCTTGTTCTACAAAAAAAACTTTTATTCCCTATCATGCTAGCAACATCATAATTCATAAAACGATAAAGGAAGCTTTACAAAAAAAATAAATCATAACAGAGAGAGTTGTACATCTTTTCTTCTAACAGTACATCACCAAGCTAAGCTGAAATACAAGACATATCAGCTTACAAGAACAAAAAATTTTCATCATGTGTTTAGCCCTTTCCACACAGGTCATGAGTCAAAGGATGTTATCATGTTTGTTGACTTGCATTAAAGATTTTATTTAACTACTATTTTATGAATTTATGTCAGTAAGTTTGGTATCAAATTGTAGATTATAATTCAAGTTTTAGTATTATACATTATTCAATTTCATACTTTAAAAATAAATATTATAAAAACATATCTAAACATCAATTTTTTGTGTGTGTCACGTGGTATGTTGAATGCAGCACTGGTTCATATTAGTATCAAACTTTGGTATCAAACTGTAGAGTAGAATTCAAATTGTAGTATTACATATCATTTAATTTCTTAATTCAAAAGTAAATATATAAAAAAAGATACACTTAAACATAGATCTTTGTGTATCACATGGTATGTTGAATGCAGCACAGGTTCAGATTAGATGTTTGTGATGTCAAAATACAAATTCTATAGTTTTGTACAAATTAGAAACTCAAATTACCAATATTGGAAAGCTAGAATATAAAATAATAACCTCATATCTTTTCTATTTCCTTATATATCATTCATGTATTAAATGAAACACAGTGGCCCTGCTCATTTCTTTCCATTTTAGAAATGGTCCCTTATATATACATAGTTCTATATATGACACATGAATAATCAATCATTTCATACTTTAAAAATAAATATTATAAAAACATATCTAAACATCAATTTTTTGTGTGTGTCACGTGGTATGTTGAATGCAGCACTGGTTCATATTAGTTTATCAAACTGTAGAGTAGAATTCAAATTGTAGTATTACATATCATTTAATTTCTTAATTCAAAAGTAAATATATAAAAAAAAGATACACTTAAACATAGATTTTTGTGTATCACATGGTATGTTGAATGCAGCACAGGTTCAGATTAGATGTTTGTGATGTCAAAATACAAATTCTATAGTTTTGTACAAATTAGAAACTCAAATTACCAATATTGGAAAGCTAGAATATAAAATAATAACCTCATATCTTTTCTATTTCCTTATATATCATTCATGTATTAAATGAAACACAGTGGCCCTGCTCATTTCTTTCCATTTTAGAAATGGTCCCTTATATATACATAGTTCTATATATGACACATGAATAATCAATCGAAAGCTCAGAATGTCCTCCTAGTGGCTTTCTCAGCTTTTTTAAAGTGTTAGGAGCCGTCTGCTTGAAGTGTCATATTTTTTTAGATTCAAATATATCTTAGTTACTAAGCTTGATAAATGATAATGGAATTCAATGATATCAATATAGTAATTTATGCTTTTTTGGTTATCCAACTGTATATATAAAACCTAAAAAAAATTAATTTTGCTTCACATCCTCCACGTGCAAAATTTCTTACAGCTTAGCAAGCTACAAAAAGCAGCAACTGAGGACAAACATTGTAACAAGAAGAGATAATTGTTTGCTTTACTTCTTCATTTACTTTAAGAAGTTATTTGTAAATAGTAATAATCTATATAAATATATGATGTATTATAAATGAAATATGACTGTATTTTACAAAATACTAGTCCATTAAGTACTAGCCCATAAAACATAGCCAAGACAGGTCACTTTCTAGAGACTAAAGGTTAATTTTATATTATTGGATACGATAATGAGTGCATGTTGGCTGCATTATTGTAACTTCTGTATTGTTAGCCAGGTACGGCTAAAAGGTCAATATAATAAAAATAATAAATATATTTAAATGTATTCTGTTATGAGATCTAAGCTATTTAGTCTAAGCATTTATGTTTTCATGTTATAATCTGTTGTCATTCTAGAACTAAAAAGGCATAATTTATATTTATTTCTTATTTTTTTATGGTGGCTATGAGATTGATCAAATCGACCAAACCCATACAGATATTCATTTGTGAAAATAACAGATAAAATAGAAAGTTTTTTCTTAAGAAATGTGTGATAACTACCTGGATATTATAAATATTTCGCATGTGAAATTTGAAAATTTTCTGATGCATAAAAGTATTCTTAATCTTAAAATTAAAATTACTTTGCACGTTGGATAGGGAACATGTGAAAAGAAAAAAAAAGCACAAGAAAAACATTGCTTAATACAAAAAAATTATTTTGCATATGAAAGCACTGTAATATTTACTGATAATCTGCAAAATTTCACTAACATACGCTTACTAATTTAAAAGTTATAGACAGAAAGTTGTAGACAGAAGCAGGTGTAAATATAGAAGTGTTTTCAAAATTGGAGAGAGAGAGGTGGGCAACGCCACTGTTTGATCCAGTAAATATAGTTATATCTCACTATACAGAAGAGAAAGGAGGTTATTATAGATTCTAGCTTGTCAAAATCAGTAATTTGAATTCGTAATTTGCAAGAAACTACAGACTTTGTACTTGGACATCACAAACATCTAATTGGAGCCAATGCTGCATTCAACATACTATGTGACACACAAAAATCAATATTTAAATACTTACTTTAAATTAAGAAATTAAATAATATATAATACTAAAATTTAAATTATAATCTACAATTTGATAGCAAACTTATTGACATACATTTATAAAATAGTAGTTCAATAAAATTTTGAATGTGAGTCAACAAATGCGATATGAAATGGCCTTTGGCCCATGACCAATAGTGATCGGGTTAATACATTATTACTTCTACATTAAGTTTGAGGGAGTGTTTGTCATTAAATACAAAATCTTCCTTATCATTACAGCATTTGTACATGAGAATGATCACATATCTGTGTTGCACATTTTAAAAATATTTTCTCCACATGAATTCTTAAGGTCTGGTATCCAACCAAAACTCTCCCTGTTGAAAAGTGATGAGTAAATATCATTTAACAACTCAGTAATCTCATAGTTATCAACAAAACTCTACCCCATTCTTTGAAAGACCAATAGTCATTCTCACATATTGCTTACTTTATATGTGTGTGTGTGTGTGTGTCTATATATAAATATAAAAAGCAATACACAAGTATGAGAATTGGTCTTTGAAATATATCAAGTAACATTTCTTTACATAAAAAAGAAATCCTCACTATTAGTTTCAATATTACATTTCATCTCTTATTCCTAAGTCTTTCTGATATCCTAATTTTTACTTTTGCTAACTCCATAATTTCTCTTTAGTCCTCTAAACCTTCCATTCTGGCCATCAGTTTTAATTCTGTAAACCTCTAATGCTATCCCTTTGTCTATTAATTCACCTAGGTGGTCTGTTCCTCATAGTAATAACTTATTTTACTACAGGGGCCATGGCTATCTTGCAATTTCTTCTTGAAAATATCCCAATTTTGTCTGTATTTTCCCTTTAATTTGGCTCGCCATTCAAGTAAAGCTAAGTCCTTCTACACAGCCTCAAAATAGACTTTCTGAAAATTTAATGAATAAAAAAAATTACAAAAGTAACATTGTTTTGCATAAATTATATATAAAACAGGTTTCCAACAAAATCTCAGAACACAAATAGTAGTGTTATAATGAACCTAAGTTTCAAATGGACAGCAACTGCCTGTTGTAGAAACCTACAAATGTAGAGGATGATGTTTCGAAAGTCTTTCACCTTTCGTCTTCAGGTCTTTTGAAATGTCATCCTCTACATTTGTAGGTTTCAACAACAAGCAGTTGCTGTCCATTTGAAACTTAGATTCATTATGAATACTCTGCCTAAACAACCTATCAAAAAATAGTGTTATAACATAACTTATATAACAATGTTTTGGAACAACATAGGACCTATTATAATGAGGTATCTTACAGAACTTTTAACATAGGATCTCTTATTCAACCAGACACATCTTGATGGCAGAGATTGAATGTAAAATATCCAGGATTTATCCAACTTTTGTGAAACTTGTACAGAATGTGGCATATGATGAAACATGACAATTAAAATTTACAGATTCCAAACTCTACAAAAAATAACTGAGTTATGACTGGCCACATCATCAACAGAAACCCCATAGTCAGCAACAATACTTCTTGTTGTGCAACCAACAAGTCTACTATGTGAGCTGCCTTCTTCTTCACCTGTCATTGCATCTGTTTTTCAGACCAGATCCCAAAAGATCTTCAGCAGGTAGCCCCATGGCCCAATGACCATGACTTTGTTATTCTTCAGCATGTCATC